AATCAAGTAGTTTTGATGAGGAGACCAAATTGCTGAGGCGAATTCTAATATTGGCAGAATAAAGGTAAGAAAGGCTAGTTTTCGAATATTAGTAGGGGAATTTCTCAAGTTGCGGCGTAGGTAGCCCAGTGAACGTGATGCTTTGGCACAGGTAGACTCGATATGTGAGGCCCATGAAAGATTCTCTGTGAGAAGAACACCAAGGTATTTGTAGGAAGAAGTGTGGGAAAGCATGGTATTGTTCAAGTAATAGGAGAATTCAGAGTTTACGTGTTTACGGGTGAAAGACATTACCTCGCATTTTGTTAAGTTAAGTTTCATAAGCCACTTGTCGCACCAGTTACAAATATGGTTGAGATCTGCTTGAATGGTTAAGTGGTCATTACTGGAGTTTATAGAACGGTATATTATACAATCATCGGCAAATAGACGCATGCAAGAAGTAATCTCGGAGGGTAAGTCATTAATGTAGATTAAAAATAGTAAGGGCCCAAGGACGCTGCCTTGCGGTACGCCCGAACTAACAGAAGAAAAAGGAGACGCAAGATTGTTAACAACAGTGAACTGCTGTCGAAAAGAAATGAAGTTTCGAATCCAGGTTAATGTTAAAGAAATTAGCGGTAGTTGTGTGCTTGTAACTAGTATTTTGACTTCGTACGGTCAATTTCTGCAGATGTTCACAACATTTTGTCCCCCCCCCCCCCCCCCCCCCCCCACAAAAAAAAGGCTGCAAAATGTTCTATGTACATGCTTTTATGTCCATACTCATGGGCTTTAGTGCACACTTTGATTGATACATGATGGCATTCGTTTATTGCCGCATTGTACAATTTTATGATGTTAGATGCTTCGATGGTTTTCATGACTTGGCTGGTGTAGAGTTTAACTCGTCGTCTGCCGACTCAGTCTTATCCGGTACTTAGCATGGCTTCACCTTTAGACAGGTTCCTGTTGACAAAGAAAGGTATGCACAAATAAAGTGAGCAGCAGTTTTATTCTGCAAGCATCGTAGACGGTGACGCAATGTATAGCACGGGGGTGAACGCACTGCGATGAGGCTGTTCGCTTTCGCGAGGAAGCGCTCCGTTACCTATAGTGCCCAAGCTCATGCCTGTTTAAAGTTCTGCATACTTTGGTGTATTTTCTCTTTTCACACAAAAAGAGGGGGGGGAGGGGGCATGGGCATGAAACGAGGGCTTGAATTTAAAGTTAATCCAAAAAGATCCTAAAACTTCAGATTTTGTGTGTTATTGATTTAAGCGACAGCTTGCGAATTTACCTTTTGAATAATTAGCACTTAAAGCATCATGCTTGTTCTGACGGATATACTGTGCAGTGGAACGAAAGTGGAACTCGTTCAGTTTCAGGTAGCGCTTCGGACTGGCCCAGACTCGCGAAAACTCTCGACAGCCGGACTCGCTTGGTCTCGCTCACCAAAGTATTACACACCCGGACTCACGGCTCGATCTAAGTAAGTCCGAGTGAGTTGACTCATCAGTGAGTTCACAGACCTGTGCTATCAGAGTTACTATTTCCAAAGACATTTATACCAAGACGTCGAGTTGGTAGTGCTGACTCACTCTAGCTAGTCGCGAATTGCATTGCCCATAGTTTTACTGCGTTCATTTCCGTTGTACTCAACATTTATGCGTTAAAAAAAGCATCCACAATTTAAGTGGGTAAGGACTCATTCTTTATGGTGAGCCTGCAATCACCAACACAAGAAGGCTACGCAATATTAACCGCATTTGGCTTTTTCGGTCTCTGTGTTTGCACACCCATCCTTTCACGATTATCCTGTTAATACATATATCTACTGCGTCTGTCCACTCGCACAGTAGCTAAGTATGTTTTTGCGCCCTAAAAAATTTAAGCTCGCTCTATGGTGCGCTTTGTAGTAATATCGTGTCTCCCATTTTTTTTTTTACAGTTTCAGTAACCACTTTGATGTTGTTGCAGCTCTAATAACTTTTGCCGCTGCTGCAGATGGGACAAGTAACTTCGAGCCCATGTTCAAGAAGATTCATCACCAGCAACTTGTCGGGGACCACCACAAGGATCATCATTGCTTCGGTCTTCAACAGCGGCATCAAAGAAAATAGCAGCTGAACTCACTAATGAGACTTCGCAGGAGTCGAGGGTCTTCGTCCATGATGGTGCAGTGAACGCTATAGCCAGGAATGCTGTTGCACTCCCGGCCACGCTTTCGGGATAATTCATTTCCTAGTGGAAAATGTGGTTGTATTGATTGCAACGTGGCACCCGAAGTCAGCATGCTAAAATTTCGGAGTTTGCATCGACTTCAACTGACACGTCATGGGCGTGCCTCGATCATTAATTTATCTATGGCTTCTACGTTTATTTCACTCTTACTTACTTGTGTGCTCGTCTGAAATATTTCTTTTTGTAAGAGTCAATTTTGTTAATGTTAAATCTTATTACAAGATCTAGTGGTCAAGTTAAATCTTTTAGAGCATGTTAAAGGTTGGAATTTTCCAAGATTTTCGCTAAGGCGTCTTTCAGGTTCGCTTTGTTTGTAAATTCCCAAAGAATTACCAAATTAATCCTAGTTGTTTCCCTCTTTTTCTTACCATTGGAAACAGCATTTTTTGCTAACGTGGGAAAGGCACAAGACCTTCGTCGAGCATTCCTCGCTCTTAGTTTCGTGTCTTCCATTGACCCTTGATATGATGGAAAATAACTATGATCAATGTTGCAGTTTCTTACGGGAGGTTTCATTATAGTTCTAGTGCCAACGCAGTCTCAACTCTTACTTGTTTTTCTCACATAGGCGCACGTGGTCTCGGCCTTCGTCAGATTCTCTAACCTTATCCAGATCTCTGCAGCGCTGTTTCAGTCCATATTACACTTTGAGATTTTTGGGCTACTTGGTTTTTTGCTCTAAATGACGCTGTAAGACTGGAAATACGGAATATACGTGTCCTGTCCTCTTTAACGTTGTCTTTCCAACACTAAGGCGTCATTCATATCGTGCCATCAGTGTGCGCTTAGGTATTTTAATGAGCACTCCATCTGTTTCAGGTCGCATGATTCGGTGTTCATCATTTCGTTCTCTCGTGTGAATGAGGCGTATCAACACCGAGCCTTGCACAAGGGTCATGCACAATGGCGAAGAACACCTACACCATTGTACATGACTCGTGGCACAATGCCGCTCTACACCGGCTCACGTAAGTTGCAAATCGATCCTCTCGCCACGCGAACTATCGAAAGTAATGAGCTATTCCTGTGTTGTTCCAGCTTGTCAACTTTCACTCCTGGCAAAAGTTGATTCGGCATCCTTCCGGGTTCGTGTGTGTTGCCTCCCGCATGGTACCTCTCGTAAGTACAAGTCATACACCTGGTGCAATGCATGTACAGACTCAGTCACCCTTATATCGCACTTGAATGATCGCCTTTCTTATTGCTGGCCCCCTTACTGCAAGTGTATAATGAAACATTGAACGTGTTCTTTACCAGCTTATCGGAAAGAGTCTGAGTTGTCAACCACCAGTAGCGTTATGCAAATCTAAACACTTGTTTTTATGAAAGAATATGAAATCTAAACATGCTCTGCGTGAAAGTGTTCTCTTTAACAGTGGCCGCGTCTGTACTGTACTCACGGATTCGCATGAGAACAATTTTCAATACGACTAGTGTGAACAATTGCTTGAAATAACCACGTCAGGCCGTGACAAATCTGTTCTCTGAAGATCGTGTTGGGTCTGATGTACGCATTTGTCAAAATTGCTTTGTTACGCGCACTCACGACTGTGAAACGGGACAACTTAAAGCTAAGTGAAACGCGCATTTTTGTTGCCAATCTGAAAGTGTTGTACGTAATGTATCTTCACGGCTGGTACCCATCACACTAACTGAGAGCTAAGGTGTTGCATTGAGCTACTAGTTTTGAGGACATGGGTTTGACTCCTGGCCAATGGGGCCACATTGTCATGCAGGTAAACAGCAGTTCCGCCAATATACATGTCTCGCAATTGTCAACAGGGCATACCTCAAGTATAATGACTTATATGAATAATGCGCTCGCTAAATGTGAGCAAATATAGCTGTTCAAGCTAACTTCAGTGAATGTGCAAGTGTTGTTTGTGTGAAAATTACTGACAATTGTAAACTTTGTAAGTGAAAGTGCCCCTTAACGGATTTTTTCTCTCCAACTCTTAAATACTGAACGTAGATTTAAGGGCATTAATGGGGCTCCTGGTGGTCGAAAGTATGTCATCCGCGATTCTCTGCCCCATACAGAGTACTTTGTAATTATTTCTAGACTATCTTATGGGAGACTCCTGAATTTTATGGAAGTAAGTAATGATGCGTGTGTCATTGCAGCTCTACAAACTATGCTTTATCAGGGCCCATGAACGCTAAGCCGGGACCATGGACAAGGATCGAGCTGCTTTCCTGACAGTTCTGAAGAATAATTGCCTCGTTCTGACGAAAAGTTACATCGAACTGGTGAAAGAAACGGAGTTTGGCGAGAGCGGTGTGCATTTTGCTATTACCACATGCCAGTTTTCTCGCACCATGTAATATTTAGCTTAATTGTGCAGGGAACAAGTTGGTTAACTTTGGCACAACTACCACTGGGGATGTTCTTCGAGACGAAACCGAAAGGGGACTGGCTCAAAAGACGGCGCTTATTTATTGCTTTGGACTTCTGAAACATGAAGTTATACGCATATTTAGTGGCATGTCATGACCATAGGGAAAAGGACGAGCAGCACAACACGCACAAACTCTATAGTTTCTCTCTACAGAAGATGCGAACAGGACGTTCTAGGAAGGCACACGCATGACTGTAAAGGCCAACGTAGGTCGATATTACTTTGCCGCTGCTTGTTGTTCGGTGGATATTACTTTTACGGCGCCTTTTTTCCCGAAGCTCCACCTGTACTAAGTGCCGCTGTGTCCACCGTCTCCACACGAGTCGTGTGGCGAAGGGTACATTCAGTGAACACTATAGACAGTTTTTAGCTGCTGAGTCTTTTTGCGTTTTCTTAGGGAGATTGTTCCACTTCATATGCCGTTGTGCTCCCATCTACTATATTGTGCCGGTTACTTCTGGTACAGAACGCGGTTTTTGCGGATGCAAGCGCAGTTATCTTTAGTGCTTACTTCTATAGAGTTGTATCAGCAGCGCCAGGGAGGAGTGTTCATGCTGCGATGGATGTACACACGAGTTTTTGATATTCTTTAACTCTCGGGTATACCGTTAACACTCTCTCTTACTATATCGCAGTTCCTGTCCCTCGACTGCTTGCGTTACATTTCTACGGTCACGCTTGGCCTCCCGTTCTGGTCTTCAAGCCTGGGCTTCAATTATGCTGACATTAGAGAATATTGTGCATGGATCATCCATGGGCTTTGTGGTTAGGATTGGTGCGTGTTGTGCATAGACCATTTTCCGCTCTTTCACGAGTCCTTCTCATCTGCCTTACAGTTCCTGGTGGCGACACTCGTGAACTCGAGATGACTGCCATGTGTGTGTCCATGTGTGGATCCATGTGTGGGTGCAGCCACGAAGCTGGTGTTCAAGTGCTGTCGAGGAAGTTCGTGTGTCATCGGGAGATGTGCGTTCAACTTCATTGGCTGCTTAGAAACCTCTTGTGAATTTGTGCTATGAACCTGTTCTAGCAGAAGTGTTATCGTCAGCAGCACGAGTTGGAAAACACGGGTGAGTGGAAATCCTCAAACTCGATGCACTGAGATTGGGGGAGGCTGCTGTCGGAAACTCACTGAAGATGCTGCAATTCCGTCAAATGTCGGCACGCCCGCTTCGTTATTGCAGAGATAAGATACCATATAGTTGGCCACTCGCTAGCATAAACAAAACATGGCAGTGTGCTATCTTTAGCTCTGCACAAAATGTCGCGTTTGAATTCTCTTGCGTGCGTGCGTGGGCGTGCATGCGTACACAAGACGGAAAAAAAAAAAAAAAACGGGATACAGCAAAGTAAACTTTAAAAGGTAGCCCTTTGCTGCGCACGAGTAGGCGCTGCACTGTCAAGCTGTCGTCTCGTTTCACACACCCCAAAAATGAACGTGTGATTGGAGTGACGATTCGGTAGAAAGCATCGCAATTCTCAATATTTTCTACAGCGCTATATAAGTATGTCGGGCTCGAAGCTATTCACCACATCCCCTTGTGTTCCCTGCCGTGGTGTTCGCCATGATACTTTGCGAATACTCAAAAACTGCCCACTGGCTTTTGTCGTTACAGGGTCCTCAACCTGTGCAACATATTTCCTTCACTTGCATGAGGAGAGCCGACATCTGACCTTGCATATTCCTACTGGTACTGGACGGGTCTCCCTGGTTGACATTCTCTGAACACTGCCTCGCGTAAGGGTCTCTCGTACTTCGAGCAATACTGCAAATGACAATTAGAACGTGTCCTACCAGAGTGTATTGTTGGGTGCACTGGTACAAAGGTTTGTGGAACAAACTGAAAACAAGAAATGAGAATAGAAAACAATGCCAAAAATCCTATCAAAATGTCTCTCTCGTTCCTGCAGGGTTTGAACCACAAACCTCTAGCCTTGCGCGACTATGCGAGTGCTTAGAATATTAGTAAAAATATTGACGTATTCAAACTCGCTTAGACTTGAATCTAAATTGTTATAAATTTCGGTGTATTTGAGATTAACTAAGTGTCCTGTGTATATTAATTAGCCTCCATGTAATTCTTCTGTTACGATTCTTACACTGCAGTTTGAAGGCAGGGAAGGGAGGAAAGAGGTACTATACCAAGGTCACTTTCTTACAAATGTCCGAATGCCGCAAAGCCGCACTTTAATGTTAAAGCAACATATTACCCTCACATTCATTCTTCCTTTGTGTTTTAAAGCTTATTGTGCAGGCTTATAAGCTTTAAGTATAGTAAATTTTAAAATGTGACATGCTTTGCTTGTTATCACTTGTATTCTACTGAAAATCGAACTCTGCAGCCATTCAACGTTGCTTCTTACTTCGAACCAAAAAGGCATTTGCACAAGCCTTGTTTCATTTTTAAAGTTTTGCAGGTTAGTTCGGTCCTGAGAAATAGGCTCATTTTTTTCTTTAAGATGTGATACATACTATTCAAACGGGTTTCAACCCTACAATTTACTATTCGCCCAAGTCTGTATACGAACCTTCCACTGGCCATGGCACCCAGTTTTTCTTCACAATCTATGCTATGTAAGTTCATTTTTGTAGGTTCACGAACAAGCTGGGGAAATTTGTATTTTGTCGAGCGCGTAGTTGATTATTGAAGTTTTATAAACACAAGTGCAGTCGGGCAACACCGATGCACTCATGAGCTGTGACGTCTTCGCGAGCGTCTGCATTTTGGTGAGTTACGGCGAACTGTTTTACAAGGAAAGCTGCTATGAGATCACAACAAGATCGCTCGCGGCGCTGTAGTGTTCCGACGCGGCCGGTTTCTGTAACCACTATCGCACGAAATAAGGTAAATAGAAACACCCAAGACATGCTGGTATTCGAACCGAGGTCGCTTGCATGCCATCCCAGTATTCTGCCGCAGAGGCACGTCAATGCTTGACACTCCGTTGCGAACTTGCCTTAGGCAGGCTTGGTGTTAGCATGAGTTATAAAGCGTTTTAGCCCCATCGTGGTGGTCTATAAGTACTCACCTGCTAACCCTCAGGTCGTGGGTACGAATCCCAGCTCCATTTTCGATGGAGGCGGGAATGCTCTAGGGCCGTGTGCTCATATTTGGATGCACGTTAAAGAACCCCAGGTGGTCGAAATTTCCGGAGCCCTCCACTACGGCGTATCTCATAATCATATGGTGGTTTTGGAACGCTAAACCTATGGTGCTTCTGGGACGCTAAAAAGTAACAGTGACAACAATTCCTTCGTTCATTTTCTATTTCAATAAGGAAAAAGATGCGAATCAGAGTACGCAAAACGTCCCTTTCTGTCCGCAGTACTTGAACCCCCAAGTTCCGCATATCGCGTTTGATTCTCTACCATGCACTTACAAAAAAAAAAAAAAAAGCCCATTTTTCATCCATTCCTGGGCAGCTGGTAGGCTAGGCAAGCGGACACTCGACATTGTCTCAAATAATTTGTTTCCTTACCGTGCGCACATTGTGTATGTGCAGAACACATAAACAAGCATTCTTGGCGTCCTTACAGCTTCTCGACCTTCACTATCATCCGTTGGATTATCTGTGGAAGCCTGTGGCCATGCCATCCCTTCTTCCACAACCAGTCGTCTTCGGGTTCCTGCCTCTTGCTTGCCTTGTGTGGAATGCGTCATGCAGCACAGCCCATCAATGTGGCCTGCCCGTCTGCATTCAGTTCGTTAAGGGACTCCCTTCTGTGTTGCTTCCCATCACTGCACTGTTACCGATGGCGGATGAAGAGTAGGCGATGGACTTCATCTCACCTTGCCCCCGCGGGACATGCCAGCAATCTCCGGATCCTCCCCGGGGCCCATGAAATATTGTGAAACACTCACGTCGGCGTACGTCAGTGTTATTGTACGGTGCCGTTCCAAGGATAGCCTCAAATCCTGCACATTATGTCAAACCTCTAAATGTTACGCTGTTCGATCGCCATACAGAGAATCTAGCGGTTTTTGTGACTCTAATAATAATAATGTCGGACTCACATTGTTAAGTTGCACAAGTGTAACATTTGGTGCATAGTTTTGCTATGCTTGTATTTCACCACCATATACGACTGTGGAGAAACTGGTGAACTTACTTGCATGTTTATTTTTGGCCACGATAGAGGCATCAATTAACATTGTGCCATGTAGTGACATATTGAGTCTTTTGATTTAAACTGCACGGGAAACTGGGAAACTTGGCTGAATTCATCTAATCAATCTCTTAAAAAAAAAAAGTGACCGGTTGTTGAGTTGCTGACAGCCGAAGTACATGCCCATTGGTGCTTACTTGTGTGCGATCGTCTTTGAGCAAAAAATGACGTTGACTAGCATCAGTCAGTCTAGTAGAGAGCAAACATATATTTAATACTCTTATTAGTGAGCCCCGCCGTGGTGGTCTAGTGGCTAAGGTACTCGGCTGCTGACCCGCAGGTCGCGGGTTCGAATCCCAGCTGCGGCGGCTGCATTTCCGATGGAGGCGGAAATGTTGTAGGCCCGTGTACTCAGATTTGGGTGCACGTTAAAGAACCCCAGGTGGTCGAAATTTCCGGAGCCCTCCACTACGGCGTCTCTCATAATCATATGGTGGTTTTGAGACGTTAAACCCCACATATCAACTCTTATTAGTGAAACACCCCGATTTTCAAAAGTATTGAAGATTGTGTTCAATTTCTTATTACATGCTGCTCTGCACATTTGCGATTGATAAATGTGGAGTAATAGAAGGCATTGTACAAGAACTTTTAGGCATCTACCATTTCGGAACTTTTTCTTTCTTTGCCTGAAGCGTATAGTTGCTTATCTATGGCTTGTTCAATTCAGAGCATATAACAGTACGTAATATGTTTATTCTAATTCATAGTACCACCACACGCTGTCTTTGCCCAGTAAAGTGAGAGTTCCCATCTAGCTTCCATATCGGACCTGGCTACACGTACAGGTTTCTGAACAGATTCCTTGTCCAGGGACTTGAGCTGTTGTATTAGTTTACATCCTTGGTTAGAAATTTCGTGGTTACTTCAATACATAAAAAAATGAAATGTAGATTGTGTTACATTTTCTTACTTCGTTCGCTGGTGCTCGGCCAGTCGAGTGCTACTCTGCTGCCTTGATTGGTACGTCAAGTCTGATGTGGCACACAAAGCGTCGCTCTGCTATACATTCACAAAATAGTTTGCTAGGCATTGAAACGACGCTTGAAACATGCTCACCAGATGTCATCATCATCATCATCATCATCAGCCTGACTACGTCCACTGCAGGACAAAAGCCTCTCCCATGTTCCGCCAGTTAACCCGGTCCTGTGCTTGCTGCTGCCAATTTATACCTGCAAACTTCTTAATCTCATCTGCCCACCTATCCTACTGTCTCCCCCTAACCCGCTTGCCTTCTCTGGGAATCCAGTTAGTTACCCTTAACGACCAGCGGTTATCCTGTCTTCGCGCTACATGCCCGGCCCATGTCTATTTCTTCTTCTTGATTTCAGCTATGATATCCTTAACCCCAGTTTGTTCCCTAATCCACTCTGCTCTCTTCTTGTCTCTTAAGGTTACACCTACCATTTTTCTTTCCATTGCTCGCTGCGTCGTCCTCAATTTAAGCTGTACCCTCTTTGTAAGTCTCCAGGTTTCTGCTTCGTAGTTAAGTACCGGCAAGATACAGCTGTTATATACCTTTCTCTTGAGGGATAGTGGCAATCTACCTGTCATAATTTGAGAGTGCTTGCCAAATGTGCTCCACCCTATTCTTATTCTTCTAGTTACTTCAATCTCGTAGTTTGGCTCCGCGGTTATTACCTGCCCTAAGTAGACATAGCTTTTTACAACTTGATGTGCACTATTACCTATCTCGAAGCGCTGCTCTTTTCCGAGATTGTTGTACATTACTTTCGTTTTCTGCAGATTCATTTTAAGACCCACCTTTCTGCTCTCCTTGTTGAACTCCGTAATCATGAGTTTCAATTCGTCCCCTGAGTTACTCAGCAATGCAATGTCATTGGTGAAGCGCAGGTTACGAAGGTACTCTCCATTATCTGTTATCCCTAACTGTTCTCATTCTAGGCTTCTGAAAACCTCCTGTGAGCACGCGGTAAATAGAATTGCGGAGATTGTGTCCCCCTGCCTTTCACCCTTCTTGATTGGTATTTTGCTGCTTTCTTTATGAGGCACTATGGTAGCAGTTGATCCCCTGTAGATTTCTTCCAGGATGTTTATATATACTTCATCGACGCCCTGATTCCACAGTGTCTGCATCACGACTGATATTTCTACTGAATCAAGCGTCTTCTCATAATCTATGAAGGCTATGTATAGTGGTTGGTTATACTCTGAGCATTTCTCTATTACCTGATTGATAGTATGAATGTGGTCGATTGTTGAGTAGCCTGTTCAAAATCCTGCTTGTTCCTTTGGTTGATTGAATTTTAATGTTTTCTTTACTCTGTTAGCAATTACCTTTGTAAATAGCTTGTATACGACAGAGAGCAAGCTAATCGGCCTGTAATTCAAGTCCTTGTCATCACATTTCTTATGTATTAAGATGATGTTAGCGTTCTTCCAAGACTCTGGTACTCTTCCTGTCAGTAGACACCTCGTAAACAGGGTGGCTAGTTTTTCTAACACCATCTGCCCTCCATCTTTCAGCAGATTTGATGTTACCTGATTCTTTCCAGCAGCTTTGCCTCTTTGTATGCTCTCCAAAGCTTTTTTGACTTCTATCATTACTGGTGAGGTGTCATCTGGGCTACTTCTAGTTCTTATAGTATTAAAGTCGTGGTTGTCCCGGCTACTGTACAGATCTCTATAAAACTCCTCCGCTATTTTAAGTATCCTATCCATATTAGTAGTTATTTTGCCTTCTTTGCCCTTTTGTGCATACAACCGATTTTTGCCTATCCCAAGTTTCCTCTTCACTGCTTTGACGCTTACTCCGTTTTTCAGAGTGTGTTCAATTTTCTCCATGTTATACCTTCTTACGTCGGATACCTTACACCTATTTATCAACTTCGAAAGCTCTTCCAGTTCTATTTTGTCTGTTGTACTTGAGACTTTCATGATTTGACGCTTCTTAACGAGATTCTTCGATTCCTGGGAAAGCTTGCCAGTGTCCTGTCTGACTACCCTGCCTCCAACTTCCACTGCACACTCCGTAATGATACTCGTCAGATTATCATTCATTGTATCTATGCTAAGGTTGGTGTCTTCACTAAGAGCCGAGTACCTGTTCTGAAACAAGACTCTGAATTCCTGTACTTTCCCTCTCAGTGCTAGCTGATTGATTGGCTTCTTGCGTATCAGTTTCTGTCGTTCCTTCTTCAAGTCTAGGCGAATTCGAGACCGTACCATTCTATGGTCACTGCATCGTACCTTGCCAACCACTTCCACATCCTGCACGATTCCAGGGTGTGCACTCATTATAAAGTCTATTTCGATCTTATTTTCGCCATTAGGGCTCCTCCATGTCCACTTGCGGTTTCCTCGTTTTCGGTAGTAGGTATTCAAAATGCGCAAATTATGGCGTTCTGTGAATTCTTCTAGTAGCTCTCCTCTGGCGTTTCTAGTACCGATGCCACAATCTTCTACTGCCTGGTCTCCAGCCTGCTTCTTCCATACCTTTGCATTAAAGTCTCCCATTAGTATTGTATACTGTGTTTTTACCTTACTCATTGCCATTCCACGTCTTCATAGAAGCTTTCAACTGAAGCGTCATCATGGCTGGATGTAGGCGCGTTAATACAAACCACCAGATGTAAATACAAAGAAACCAGAAGATAAAGCCTTCGAAAAAGTAATATTCCACATGGCATGCTGGCAGGATTGTTTCGACAAATGATCTCACGTTCATGGAGAAGGGGAGTAGGGGACTTGGAAGGAATGCTTACCAAAATGTATGTTCAAGCCGAATGTTTTTTGTTCTATGTACCCCCTTGTGTGCAAACGTCCGTTTCTCCACCTGTTGCTCAAAGTACTAATTGTACATGTTTGGTTATCTTACAACTTAACATGCAGATGCAATCTCACTCTTTTTCACATCTCTGCCGTGATCAGCTCTGGCATCCAACAATGGTTCCTTGTAAAGCAGGAAAAAAAAAAAAAAAAACAGCTGCGTGACAGCAAGCATGGCCCGCAATATCTGAGTATTCAAGTTTTCCGGGCCATGCTTGCTGTCACGCAGCTATTTTATACCGGCTGAAATTATCGAACCGAGCACTTGGGTTTGAGAGCAAAATTGATGTTTGTTCAGATGTTCTTTTAAGCATCTGAAGTTCGTAAGGATACGACGTTATTTGTGTTCACAGTAATTGAAAAGCAGTTAAGCTGCTGGAAGTAATGTTTCGTGGGCTGAAATGACCTAGAATCTTTCGAAGGCATTGTCAAATGCCCCAGAAAAGCCCATGCAAAGTTAAACTTCGCCTCTCATACTTACTGGATGTTACGAATCACTGGCGCCGCCATCGAAGAGGTACCCGCCCTTCTAATATTACTGCGTGCAACCCCCCCCCCCCAAACGAAAAAAAATCATGCCCAAAACAGAATACGTTCCCCAACTACCTCACTACCTCTTTCCACTCCCCCCTCCCCAAATGAACTCGCTTGAAGTAGGTTCCCTATCCACTCAATAAAAAACACCTTGTCGGCCCTGTAACCAATCAACCGTAATTGTTCCTTCCTGTAACATGACAAGAATTTGTCTAGTCCTGAGCAAATTATATTATGTGAAGCCCCTCGCCCTCCTCCCTATCAAGTCGGTGACGCTGCCCTTGAGGACGCCGGAAAACGAAGATTCATCTTCATGGAGTTTAATGTAAACATAAAAATGAAATAGTGGTTCACTTTCTCGTACATTCAGTCCTGTACTCTGGCACCTCTCTTACTTGTGCAGAGTAAGTGTTTGCACTGAAATGCATTCATGCCTCTTTCAAGTATCGCTGTTAGCAAGCTACAGTGTAGCACATTTGCAGTTGA